CATAATAAAATGTAAAGTTCTCTTTTTCATAGCACCATACAATCACTGTAGCACAAGACAAGAAAGTGAATGAAATACAGCGGATTATCCCGGAAGTGACCACTCAAAGTGCGTAACAGACCACGTGTAAAGTGGTCCCCCGAAAGACGTTGAAAACAATGGAAAATTATGAAACCGTCACCCCAAAAAGTGGTCTCGGCGGCTTACCAGAGGAGGTCGTTTACGATAGGGTTCCAACTATGGGGCTTCGACAGCAAAGAATTTCGTGTTTTGGAAAGGTGGTCGGGTGTGGGATGTGGTCAATTATACCAGAAGTGGTCGAACATGCAGTTTCAACTGTATCAACTTGAAATATATAAATTCTGACCTCTCCGATTGTTTATAAACTGATCATACAGGAAGACATATGATGTAATCTCACCATGCTGGGAAATTTTGTTTATGAACAAGACCAAACTGATTAGGCTCCATGTCTCCAATCGACACGGAGCAAATACTCCTTACGGAAATTGCGACATTTAAGCTAAAGGAAATGATTATTTTGGAACGAAATTTGCTAGTATAAAATGTGGCCAGTTAAAAAGACTAAAATAAGCGATCTAAGTGGGAATGAGACTTACTGTGGATAAAAATTAGGCAAATTCATTGCAACGTTGAGAAATCTCTTGAAATTTCTAATATCCCATATCTTCAAAGTGTCATCACCTAGAACAATAATAACTTCAGTCAATAAAACACTAAGAAGCATCAAGTTATCCAAAGTACGGAGTTCTACCTTGAGATCTAACGCCACAAATAACAGTACTAAGACAGGCCTATCTTATTAACTAAGCTACAATCCTCGTCAAAAATCTTGAAACACTTGTTTGCGTTTCCCCTTCCCCAATGTTGATTTGGGTATTACAGTGGTCTCAGTGCTTCAAAATACGCTTGGCTCAACATTTGGGAGGGAGAGGGCACATTACAGTGAGAACAAAAGTGTGGGGAGTAAATCTCAAGAATTTGCTAGAAAATTCAAGGGGAGCGGTGTCTGTTTCAACGATTTGTGACGAGTATTGTAGCTAGGTGATCTTTTACTTGCTGGAATCAATACTAAGAGCATGGAATGTTATCATAACCAGTCTTTTTTCAGTTGAATTTGAAGAAATATTACATGATTATTGATTAATTAGATAAGATAGTGTTTCCTGGCAGGTATATCTTGACTTCAGGCACTCTTAGGATTGAAAGAGGAGCTAAACAGGAACAATTCAAGTTTTAACCATCACCTCCCCTGGATGCTAGTAAGCTTCCTTCGTGTGAAAAAGTCAGTGATGATGTGTCGCTACCAAATGTGTGAGCTGTACGCTGCAGGTAAGTTGGATGGATCTATTAAAGAAAAAACATCCAAAAAATATAACCCAATCTTTCTACTGGAATGCTGTAAGAACAGGAAATGCTTTTTTAACGTCTTACACCGATCGATACAAAACTAGCGCATCAAAATCCAAACAACTTGAAGTTACAAACAAATAGTAAACGTCTGTTACGTGACGTTACACAAGTTACATGAAAGTATATATAACAATTATTCATTTGGTATTTACCGAGCCGTGAAGTGACGTAGTAAATATCCACCACTAGCCATCGACACTGAGAAAAGCCATTGTGCTCGTAACTTACGCGAGTTTGGCGTCGCTCGGAGGTGAATATCACTGGACATACGGAGTTTAAGCGGCCAATCAGAGGGCGCGAAAATCATTATCCACAGTTTTAGTAAAATTATACTAAATTTTATTAACCTCTTCTTTTCGTATGTCTTGACAATTGAACGCATGTTTTGGTATTCAGTATTTTTTGTAGCTGTGCATTTTCGCTGGGCTTCGCTACCTTCTGTTTGTTGACACAGTTGAACGAACCTCTATACTGTAAATCCTCTATTGAACCCCCCTCTCAAATACCCCCCCTCCTTTTCAGGGGAAGAAAGTTAATCGGCCCTCCCCCCCCATCTCTTTTAACCACCCCTCCCTTCCCCCTTACTATTCTTCACTCATAAATGATAGACTGTATTAATCTATCACAACTGTAAACGTTCGTTGCGGACTGATCTGGGATGGTTTATTCACCAACTGGAAGTTGGGATTTGTTTTTGATCCTCGGTTGCATGACCTCCAACTTCCTTTACTTGAGCTTTTCCACTTTGTATTGACTATTCTAGTTCTTTAAGGAAAACTAATGCCGTCATTTTTGCTAAATTAAATAAGCCCCCCCCCCCTTCAAATTAGCCCCCGGTCTCTATTAAGCCCCCCTTCAAAAGTGTTTGAAAGAAATAAGCCCCCTCCCCCTCCTCCCTAAGGGGATGTAATAGGGGATTTACCATATAACGAACTCCTCGGTATAACACTCCAGTAACAGTATACAATATAGAAAAGAACCTCGATATAACGAAACCTTGTTACAGCGAAAATATTTGCCAGACCCTTGCCTTGTCCCTTTGTTATGATTTTATCGAGGTTCCACTGTATTCGAAATCCTTCTTTTCCAAAATTTGAATAGAGAACCCCTTTTTCCTGGTAAGCAGAGCGTAAAGCTAAAAGGTGATACCGTAAAATTCCGAAAATAAGCCCTTGGGCTTATATTTTTCAAAGGCCATTTTTGAGCGACTTATTTTTGAAGGGGCTTATGTACGGAGGGAAATTTGCGTTTCAAAATCGATTGGGCTAGCCTTATTCTTGGAAGGAAATTTACCGTTTCTCTTTGTTTTACTTTGTACTTGAGGGCAATTTCCAAGTACAGGCCCCGAGGGGGGGCTTATATTTGGAGGGACGATTTAACGGAGGGTTTTTTGC